ACCACAGTCGGGGATCCGGTTCCAGCTTCATCTGCTTTGCTGGCCTCATCATCTGGTCAGCGGGAAGGGTTCCAGCCGAATTCATGGCGTCCGGGGCACGCCGCCTAGTGTGTCTCGCAAGCTATGCTGTTGAAAGGTTTTGCATGGGACAACGCAAATGGTAAATGACAAAAGGGTCACTGCCAGTGCTCTGTTGGTCACACGCCATGCCATGCTAACGGCCCAGCCGCGGGAAGGCCTGAGCCACTTGAGCCGCTTTTCCCCACGCCTGAGTACACCAGCAAGCAAGCCTCGGACCCCGTGGTGCCCCTGGTGCCATGCACGGGCATCTTCCTCGGGCCCAGCAAGTCGGGCAAGACCGTGGCGCTCATCAGCCTCATCCTGGAGCAGTACAAGGGCGTGTTTGAGCGGATCTACGTTTTCAGCCCAAGCGTCAACATCGATGATGGCTGGATCCCCGTCAAGAAGTACATCGAGCAGGACCTGGGGGTGAACACGGAGCGTGAGCAGGCTTACTGGGACGAGTGGGATGAGTCCGCCTTGCGGCGCATCATCCAGCAGCAGCGCAAGATCACGGAAGCGTCCAAGAAGTTGGAAATGAAGAAACTGTACCAGGTGCTTGTAGTCATCGACGACTTTGCTGACACGCCGCAACTCCACAAGCCGCACGGCGCCCTTGACACGCTCTTCATCCGAGGCCGTCACATGCAGATCAGCACCTGGGTGAGCTCGCAGAAGCTGAGGCTCATCAGCGCAGCCGTGCGGGTCAACATGCAATTCCTCTGCTGCTGGAGGCTGCGCAACCAGCACGAGCTGGACGCCGTCATCGAGGAGCTGAGCGCCCTGCTGCCGAAGGAGCAGCTGTACCGGCTGTATGAGCAGGCGACCCGAGAACCTTACAGCTTCCTCTTCGTGTACTACCTGAAGCCGAAGAACGAAATGTTCTACAAGCGCTTCGAAGAGCGTTTCGCGCTTGAAAAAGACGCCGATGGGAGCGGCGCTCAGCTTCCTGGGCCAGAAGCTGTTCGCCAGCTCCACGCTGATCAACGCGAAGTGTGAGAACATCTCCTGCTGCACCTCCGTCGCAGCCGTCCAGCCGCCCGTCGTCCGCCGGACGGGCGGCTTCCTAAAGAAAAGGATGACGACGATCTACGTGGACAGCCGCAAGAGGGTGGCCGGCTCAGACAGCGACTTTGAGGTCGACCTAGGAGAGTCGCTGCACTTGCAGAGCGACGCCCGGCTGGCCGTCTACAAGATCCGCTTGGCCGACAGCTTTTTGTCCACGGACCGCGGCCGCTACCTCTACTGGGTCGACGCCGCGCTCGGCACGCGACCCCCGTGATGTTGCGTTGATCCCCAGGCCCTTTCAGGTAGGTTGAGGTGTCCCCGAACCGTGCCCCCCTGTAGCACCTCGGCAAGTCCATCGGCGAGAGGTTGGGTCGTCGCGTGTCAAAACCACGATTTTACATGGAAAGTCTACGAGGGCTCACCTTCATATTGCCCTGATTTGTTTTTTTTGATGAGAAGCCTTCCCACACCGGCCGCAAAACGCGATCGGGGGCTGAAGGGCAGCGGCTGGTGAGGGAAGGGTGAGCAAGCGCAGAGCACAGCTTTCTTTGCCGGCAGCAGGCGATCGGGTGGTGCCAGGGATTGGCTGGCGGGGGAGGCGGGTGGCGACGGACGGCCACGGAGCAAGCGGCGGAGGCGCTGAGCAAGCGCCAAAAGGGCTGCCAAGCAGGCAGCTGGATCCGCGCTGTGGCTGGGTGCTGGCCACAGGTGCTGGCCACAGATGCTGGGCTCCCTGGCCGCCATTTTATGCCTTTTTTTGGGAACAGGGGAATAAACAGGATGCGTTTGGGGGAACACGGGCAACAAAGGAAACTATGTGACGTGCAGTTTTTTTTGCGCGTCTGCGTGCGTGCGCGTGCCAAATGTGCTTATTTTTCACACAAAAAAACATGTCTCGGCGAGTTGTGTGGTGCTTGCAGTCTCATCTGTCAGTCCTGGGTGTGCTGGGTGACCTGGGGTCCCTGAAATCCCCGGGGTCCCTGAGGTCCCTGAAGTCCCTGGGGTCCCTGGGGTCCCTGAGGTCCCTGGCATCTCCCGGGTTCTCTCACGCTCGGCGGGTTTTTCCGGGCGTGTTCTTTTACGTCGGCAATCCACGACCAAAAGAACGCCGGTTTAGAATGGACAGGAGTCCCCACCCGTACCGGGCTTCACCTGTAGATCCCTCGCTTCCAACACCAAACCACACTGCTTACCCATGATCCAGACTTGCCTGGCCTCGACGCGGGCCTGGCACTCGCAGCCGGCAAGGGCCTCGGGCCTTTGGATCTTGTTGCCGTCGGTGTCCCAGAAACGGACGTTCCGTGCGTCCAGCTTGCACTTCAGGAAGGTGGCGCCCTGCCAGGACTCTTTGAGGCAGCTCTGCCACCTGTCTTTTGCATCGCCGCAGTCGCTCCAGATGCGGTTGGACCGCAAAGACAGCTCGTTGACGCACTTCTTTTCGAAGTCATCCCAGGCCCCCCAGGCCTCGGAGCCTCTCTCCATGGCAAGGCACACGTTCTGCCTGGGTCCTTGGTCCTTGCCAAAGCTGCTGGGCTCCCACAGCATGTGGGTCCACTCGGATTGCCAGACTATGGGCTTCCCCTCGCACCTCAACGGCGCCGACTTGGCTCCCTTGGGGGAGGTCTGCACCTCCCCGACTGTCATGTTGCTGGCGATGGCAGTTAATTTGACTGGGTTGCCGGTCTCTTTTCTTATAGGGCGGACAAAACAAACGGTCCGACCAAAGTGTCGGCCCCAGATCAAGCGGCTCGAGAGCCATTTCCGGAAAAGGGGTGTTTTTTTGTCATTTTTTCCGGAAACTCTGTTTTTGCACGGGTTTTGCGCACAAAAAAATGACAGGTTCTTGCTGTTGTTTCTCACGGTTTTACGTTGTCGGGTGTGAGCACTTGCCGCAGCCTTTTGGGGACACTTTTGGGTCCGGGGCGGTGGGGGGGGAACCGCTCGCGGGTGCAAGGCGTGGTTTCGACCCCACGTACAGTGTGCCGGCCATGTGGAGTTGGAGAACGGCGTCCCGCAACAGGCTTTGTGACCTCGAGATCTACCGCCTGGGCCTTCGCTTGGCTGTTTGCGCTGTCACTGCCAAGCCCAACTGATCTTGGAGGTTTGGGCCCAACAAGCCTTGCTTCTCGTGCCAAGGCTTGTTTAACCGCGGGATCTACATTGCCCGGACCTTTTGCTGTTTCCGTTGCCGTCGCCAAGCGCAGCTGATCTTTTGAGGTGATCCGTGAGGCTCTTGCTCAACTCACCGTCTGTCAGGCTCCCTTTCTGTTTGACCCGCCGAGCAATCACGTCACATGCCAGGTGCCAGGATCCACTGCGACGTGCAGATCTTCTCACGGTGCGGCCCTTTGGAGTTGCTTTTTTTTCACATTTTGTTTGGCCGCTTGCAAGGTGGATCCACAATTCGTTCTACAGGACTCCTGTGCAGGTTGCGCGGCGTTTTCATGGTCTGGTCCAATTTGCCAAGTTTGACCTGGTGAGGCCACGTGGATCTTCCTGTGTTTGTGGGTCTCTAGGGTCCCTAGGGTCCCTGATTCCCTGAAGGTTCCCTGGCGTTCTTGACGCAAGCATCCGTCAATCTGAAGCGTCGTTGGAAACCCTGCGGACCCCAGGGGACCCCAGGGACCCTAGGGACCCTAGGGACCTTAGGCACCCGGGGACACCCTGTGGTACCTGGGGTGACAAGGTGGGGTGCAACGAACATTCCTGCGGTCAATTGCAGGTTTTTTGCTGGAAGCGACTTGTGAAGTGGTTTTTGATCATGTATCGGTTTCAGTAGATACAGATCTATTTATTTGTGTACATTCATAGATTTATCAATTTATAGATCTTTATATTATTGTATTTCTAGATTTGTAGATCTATACATTCATAGATTTTTAGATTTGTAGATTTATCAATTTATAGATCGATTTTTTTTTATTATATTTCTAGATTTGTAGATCTATACATTCATATATTTTTAGATTTGTAGATTTATCAATTTATAGATCTTTATATTATTATATTTCTAGATTTGTAGATCTATACATTCATAGATTTTTAGATTTGTAGATTTATCAATTTATAGATCGATTTTTTATTATATTTCTAGATTTGTAGATCTATACATTCATATATTTTCAGATTTGTAGATTTATCAATTTATAGATCTTTACATTATTAGATTTCTAGATTTGTAGATCTATACATTCATACATGTTTAGATTTGTAGATTTATCAATTTATAGATCTGTACATTATTAGATTTCTAGATTTGCAGATTTTTAGACTGATAGTCTACGTTGATTTGGTTTGCGTAGCAGAACGACTTTGTTCAATGGAGGTTCAAGGCACGCCACTTCCCAGAGGCTCCCCCCCTTCCAAGACCTGCGGAGTCCCCGGGGTCCCTAGGGTCCCTAGGGTCCCTAGGGTCCCTGGTGCCCTGACCCGGATTTAACACCCCCCCAAAGGTACCCAGGGTTTTCAGAGGGACCAGGGACCCTAGGGACCCCAAAAACCCCAAGCACGCTCGTGCGGATTTGTTTGAGGGGGGCCCACCAAGAACCCCCAGGGACCCCACAAACCCCAGGGTCTCCAGGGACCTTGGGTGCTTCAGATACTGCCCACCGCAAATCCGAGAAAATCCAGGGACCCCAGGGACCCCAGGGACCCCAGGGACCCCAGGGACCCCAGGGACCCCAAAGACCCCAGGGACCCCAGGGACCCCAGGGACCCCAGGGGACCCCAGGGACCCCAGGGACGCTCGTCGGCCCAGGCCGGGCCAGTAGAAGACGCCTGGTGCCCAGCAGATTCCAGCAGCAGCATGTGCACATGTGACTTTCAGAGGAGTTGGTCAGAATTTGGCAGACGAGTTGATCAGACTTTGGATGTGAGGGCTTGCGAAGCTGATTTTGGCTGAAATCTGAAAGTTGCTTGTGGATCTTGTTGCTATGTCCTTCAATGCAGTTGCGGGCTATCTCGGCGACCTTGCCCGCGGCAAGCGTGAGGGTGACGGCGAGCCGGCCAAGTCTGACTGGGAAGACTTGCAGGCCGCCGTCTTGGCCGGTGACACAAAGGCCCTGCAGGTGGCCGACGCAGTGATGGCGCAGGCCAAGAGCCGCACTGACGCCGAGCGCATGGAGGCGTTGGGACGCCTCCTGCAGGAGGAGTCCGTGGAGGACTGGCGGAGCCTGCAGCTTGGCCCTCCGCGTGCAGCCATGCCTGCCTCTGACAGCGTCTCATCCAGGGACCCCAGGAACCTCAGGGACCCCAGCAACGCCAGGCGCCCCAGAAACCTCAAAACTTTCAGAGACCCCTGAAACCCCCGCCCTCCAGGGCACGACAGCTTGTGACTTCCGCGGTGCCGATTTCGGTTGCCTGTTTTGCAGGCAGGCCAGTTTGGTATCTCGCTTGGACTTTGATGCAGCGGCAGGATGTGGGTCAGCCAGTCTGACGGATGGACGCTGCGAAGCCTTGCAAGGCTTGGCCCGACCGACCTTCAGGCCGCGAGTGAAAAGGAGGAGGAGCATCCAAACCCGTGCGTTGGTGTTGCCAAAGAAGCCAGTCAATCTTGTGTTTGCTCTGGAAACTTGGCTCGAGGGTACTCATCAACACTGACACAACAACAGCTCGCAATGGTTGCCCGATGGTCTAGTGCCAGTGCTTGAGGAATCGCAGGCCGCTCAAGCGCTTTTCGAATAGCCATGGCGATGATGCGGACCAGGACCAAAAGCCGAGGCTGGCAAGCTTGTGACGCTACCGTGCCCGCGGTGGGCAGCGGCCAGGTATGTGCCTCTGCCTTCTCGGGATCGCATTGGCGCTGCTCGTGCAGCCGAGCACGGCCTGGGTCTTGGGACATATTTTTCCCGAAGGTTTTCGGGTTTCAGGAGTCCCTTGTCGCCGCCCAGGACTTTGCTCGAGGAGTTCCTGGGCTGAAGGAGCATGAAGTCCCTCCTTTGGATGTTCTTGTTTCGTGCTGAGTGCCAGGACGGCATATTGGCCCAGTTCTCAGAGTTGCCCGCAGGCGCAAGCAGATTGCACTTTGGCTCTTTCAGGCAAAACGGCACCCGTTGCATGCCGGAGTCGCTCGGCGCGCCGGGGCTGCGCAAGAGGACTCCTCCGACCCGAAGCCTGTTCGCATCGTTTGCCGGTTGCCGCCAGGACAACAGTGGCCAGGCCTGGGGGACACGTGCATCGGGCTTGAACGTTGGGCTTGTTGGTTGTCAGGACCGGCGCGATCTCGAGGAGGCGGCGGACCTTCAGAGAAAGCGACGTCCCAGCTTGGCCTCGCTCAGGTGGTCGCAGAAGCCGACAGGGTGCTGGAGGACAACGGCACGGTGAAAGAGACCAAAGCCGTCTTGCGCCGCTGGAGCAGCACGTGGGTCGGGGTTTTCAAGAGCGGTGAAAGTGTTGAGCTCAGGAAAAGCGCAGAAGATATATCCAGGGAAGTGGACCCTTTCAGGGAAGAAAGACGAGTTGCAACAAAAACTGCGCGAGTTTGTGGAGGAGGCAGGACTGCGTGCTTTGTCTGAGATTCGCAAGCGGTTTTCGTGCGACGCAGGCCAAAGCAACCAAAAAGGGCTTGGAAGAGGCCGTCGGTTCGTGCGCACAGCTGGGGTGTGTGAGTCGAGTTGGTGCAATTGGTCCGCCAGGATTCCCACAGGGCACAGGTCCAGATCTCGGCGTTGATGTGATTTTTTTGCCTAAATTTCAGCTCTTGAGGTGACAAGCTGGCACCCTGGGCGTGGCGGAGTTGCTTCGCGCGCCAGCCCGCAGCAGGACGCCCCAATCAGCAGTTGTAAATTTGGCCGGTTGCAATCGTGCCAGGACAGTGGTGCGGAGGCCGGGGGCTCGCATGCGCCAGGCTTGGTTGTTGGTGAGTGCTGGCAGGACTGGCTCGCCAAGAGCCGCGAGGAGGTGGAGGCTTTTGGCGAAGAGGAGGTTCTGAGCTGGTCCGAAGCGGTGCTGAACGAGGGCAAGGTGAGAGATGAGCTCATCCAGCGCACGGTGACGACACTGCAGCAGCAGGGCGTCACCGGCAAGTCCCTGCTGGAGCTGACACTGGAGCAGATGATGCAGGATGGCATCCTCCGTGGCCCGGCAGTGCTGCTGACCAAGAAGATCCAGTTGCTGCAGGAGCCCCAGGCACGGCTGGAAAATCGTTTGCTCTTGACTTTGTTCTGAGACATTGGTCGTTGCGTGCGGATTTGAGGAATTCCCCCCGCGGCCCGCAAATGCTTTCAATGGGGCTGCCCTGATCAACATCCACAGAACCAGGAAATCCCAAGTTTACATTTGTGCAGATTGCGGCGGTTCGTGTCGTTGGCAGGCTCGGTAGGGACCCCCCATGAACGGATGGTTGCCTTTCCTTGTTGGAGGTCGGTCATTCCTGCTGGTCGACATTGATTGAGACGTGCCGTTGATCGTTGTGAGTGATTTTGCGCTTGCCCCCAGCCTGCTTTTGAAAGAGCAAGACCTGCCCGTCTGCCGGGGAGAGGGAGGGCAAACTCTGATGTCTTTGCAATCATTGGGGCCCTTGCTGCTGCAGGCACAAGTGCATTCTATGAATGTTCTCTTTGATCTCCCTGGCGGTGTTCTTGCTCGATGTTTTGCCCGTTTTGCTGCCATTCCATCCCGTTCTGTTGTTCATTTTTCTCCGTACCTGTTCATATCTGCCTGATTTGGCGTGAGTGTTTAGCGCAAAACTATCAAACAGTCGAGGGGAACCCGCAAATATTGAAGAGCCTGCTGTTCCAGTCGCCTGCCTTTTGAAGAGCAAGACCTACCCTTCTGCCATGGTCGTTGCTGCTGCAGACACAATGCAATCCGAAGGTTAAATTTTGTTCCGACAGCACGAGCATGTAAAGTGTGCACAATGTATTTCTGCTGCCGGGTGACGTTGAGACGTGCCGTTTGACGTTTTGTGTGGTTTTGATTTCCCCCGCGGAAATGCTTTCAGTGGGGCTGCCCTGATCACATCCACAGAACCTCAACATATTTGACGCCACTCTCCCCCCTCATCAACCTTGTCGGGGTTCCTGGGAACTCAGTGGTTTTGCTCAGCGTGGAGCCCCACAAAAGGATTGTTGAGCTGAACCACGCATCCCCCGCTTTGCGTCCATGGGCAGTGGCAGTGCTCCTGCTGGAAATTTTGGTTTTGTTTCGGGTTTGGTACCCTTGTATTCCTTACTTTCCCAGTGCTCGGCTTTCGCACCAAGTACCCATGCTTCTTTGTGATCAGTTGTGAATGGTTAGTGTTTTGCAAAAACATGAACCAGTGGGAAGGAACCTGCTAGTGATCGATTTTCCCACCAATTGCCGATGCGTGTTTGGTTTGTTGCGATTGTTTGTCCTTCCCAGCATTCCCTCATGCACCTCCCGCGCAGGTTGAGCTCCCTCGTTTTAACGCCGCAGATCTCTCGGACTTTGAAGACCGCTTTTTGAACAGCCGAATCAACAACAATATTGAGAGGCCGTTTGAGGAAAGAGAGGCGGTTGTGAAGAGAGTTTTAGAGGAGATAGAGCTGATCCAGAGTTTGGAGACCAACAAGCCGACGGTCTTGGCCTTGTGGAGCCCACGGGGCACCGGCAAGACATCGCTCATCCGTCATTTGGCGAAGGTCTCGAACTTTTCCGAAAGTCGACAGTGCGGGCGGCTCTTGGTTGTTGATGCGTTGACGATTCCGCCAACGCTGCTGCGCAAAGATCCTGACTTGCTGGTTTCTGCCATCATCTTGTGGCACCTTTGCCAGATCTTCGATGGCTACTCTGTGGAGGTGAGCCAAGGGCCACCCATTGGTTTCCAGACGACGAGGTTCAGCGATTTGGTCAACATATTGGAATCCAGCCGATCATCGCCAGCTGTCAACAGCTTTGAGGCTTGGGTTCGCTTACGTTGCAGAATCAAGGAAGCTGTTTTCGAGCAGTGGCTTCTGGTGACGGCTGCAGCCTTCAATGCAACACCAGCCTGCCCTTGCTTACTGTTCCTCGATCAGGCAGAGCTGCTTGTGAACAGCACGGTCGATGGACTGAGTAAAATGGGTGGACAGAAATCGGCTTTCACCGAACTATTGAGCCGATTCCCGCAGAGGATGGGCATGTTTTCCGCAGGCACAGTCAATGTCCTGCAAGATAGGCCATCCGAGGAGTACACCATGCTGGAGGTCCAGGAAGCTCCAGCTCTAGCGCCATTGTCACTGCAAGCTGCCAGACGAGCCATGAAAGGCTGGAGGGGTACGCAGTACCAGGAGGAGGAATTCAACAAAATTCACCTCTTCTCTGCCGGGGTACCCCGGCTTTTGGAGGCGGCTTTCCAGACCAGGGGTGAGTTGGCATCAACTGCTCAGGTTGCACTCAACGCCATGTCGAATGAGTTCGAAAGCTCGTACGCGGATGCAGCGCCTTATTTCGCTGAGCCCAAAGTGGCTTTGTCGTTGGTTCTTTGCTCGGCGGTTCGATGGCCTGCAGAAGGCCACCAGCTTGTGCCCGGAACCTCAGTGAGGTGGTCAGACATCTTCAGGGCCGGAGCAGCATTTCCAAACAACAAGTCCGTACTGGTTCCACGGCTGTGGTGGTGTAAGGATACCAATATCAAAGACGCCCTCCAAAACGACTTGAAACAGCTGAACATTTCGTTGGAAGGGCTCCTGCCAGACTTGCTGGAACTGTTGAAAGGGCAGGAAAGGGGCGCTACAGAGAGGGGGCCGCTGTGGGAAGGCCTGGTGGCCAATTCCCTGGCTGTTCGCTTCCGCCTTCACTGCGTAGCAAGAAATCTCAGTCCTGAAGTCACCTGGGTCCCGTTTTCGGAGATCTACCCTACGGAGGATCCACATTTGCGAGCTGTTTTGGAGCCGTTCGAAGTTTGCTGGAGTGATGGTGTGGAATATCCAAGCGGCCAAGGCAATGAAGCAACTGTCATGAGTGACGTTGGGAAGGCCATCAAGTCCAACCGGAATTTTGCAACGGCTCACCACGACCTTTTGATCCCTGTGAGACGCAAGGCAACTGGTAAGCTCGAGTTCATTGCTGCGCAATGTCGTTATGGAAAGAAAAAGGATGCAGGCGGCCTGAAGTTGCAGGACAAGGCAAAGAAGGACAACTTTGAGGACATGCAAAATGTGTTGCTGCAGATTTGCAGTGAGTCTGAAGGCTGGCGGTCCTTTACAAACGAGACATGGGCCAGACGTCAGGAGGAGAAGAAATACTCTCTCATGAGTTGCGAGACTATCATTGCGCAGCTGGACGTGCTGAAACTTTTGTGAGTGTAAAAAAAAACGCGCTAGCAGGCTGGAGCACATGTTCCATGGGTGTCAGGCTTGCATCCACAAATTGAATGGCCGTTTTGGGCGGGGTCCAGGGATCGCTCTAAGGTCGAGATTCGCAAAATCGTGTTGGGCTAAAAGTTCTCTCCACAAGCTAAGGCATGTTGCTTCCGTCAGGTCTGCTCAAGAAAGTCAGCGGCCCGAATCGCTTCTGGGCCGCCTGGGCCCCAGGAAGTCGTCCAGCTGCCTCACCGCAGCCGGTCTGCCCCGCCTCGTCAGTCGGCCCGCCGCGTTGCCGCTGCCCTGGGGCGCCGGCAGGGCAACGCCAGCTTCAGCAGGGTCTCCCGGCCTTCGGTGCTCCGGACGGTCATGGAGTCCACGGCCCGCAGCTGCTGCACGTTGCCGTACTGTGGGTTGAAGCTCCACGCCGCATTCGTTGGTGCTCGGACAGCCCCACATCCTCGACTGCCTTGATGCGCCGGTCCGTGAGGTCCTTGTTGTGCTGAAATTTGTCGGCGTTGTCCTGCAGCAGCCGGAACTCGGTGGCCGGCTGCTTCTCCACGTCCTCGGGCGCGTCGTATACCGTCTCGTGGAGCGCACGTTGTAGGCCGACGGCCGGCTTGAAGTGGTCGCTCCACCGGCCGCCTCTGCGGGCCACCCTTGTAGCCAGGTCCTTCTTCAGCGTCTGGATGCCCCGGTCCACCACGGCCGTGGCGTTGCAATCCTCAGGGCGCTTCGTGCGGTGCACGCCGCCGGCAGGTCCCGGTCCAGCGTGGAGAACTCGTTGCCCAGGTCGGTCGTGACCACGAAGTTCTTGTCGTCCCCCACCAGCTCCTGCGTGGCACGCTTGGTGGCCTGGCCGACCGTCTCGGCGTTCTTGTTGTAGACGGGTGAAGACGTTCATGACCGCCAGGCCGTACTTCGTCTTCCCCCGCGTATTCTGGCTGAAGTCGATGAGGTCCGCCTGCAGCCGGTCGTTCGGCCCCTCCGCAGCCGACTTCCCAGCGCCCGTGTTCAGCGCCTCAAAGGCCATGGCCTGCGTCACGTCGAGGTCTCGCTGCCTCGCAAGTCGGTACAGCATCCGTGGGTCCCGCACGTTGAAGTCGTCGGCCAGATCTCTCAGCGCCTCCATGTTTACTTGTTCTTCGGCCCTCGCTGGGCCTGCCAGGCTTCCACCTCGTCCAGCCTGGCCTGGAAGCCCTGGCGCACCCCCACAGCACGCTGGTGAGGTGCGAGTAGTCGGGTGACCGTCTCGGCGCCGTCGCTCCACCGGGCGGTCCGCGTCAGGTTCTTCCACTTCGTTCCTGCGGAGTCGAAGAGCTGCTGGAGCTCCCCCAGGTCGGCCTCGGCCATCTCCGTCTTCACCCGGCTGTCCGGCAAGTTGGTGAAGCTCGTGTTGCAGACCACGTTGCCCGTGTTGCCGGCTATCACCAGGCAGCCGGGTTCCTCTGGTTTGTGTGAGGGACGCTGCGTCGAGAGGCTCTTCGTCTGGACCAGCGCCTCGTCGTTGATCATGATGAGCTCGCACTGGTGCGCCCCGCCGTCCCGCTCCAGGAAGACCCGCGCGCTCTGGTTGCCCAGCCGGGCCGCGGTTGGATGCCGCGCTGTTGTTGGAAATCTGCACCTTGCTCCAGCCCGCCCAGTTCTTCGTCAAAG